AGTTTCTCTGCGGATTCGGGCTCCTCTCAGCGAGCGCACTCCACCCCCATCTTCAAAAAAAAATAAAAAATTCCTGGGATGTTTTTTGGCTTGTCCAGTTTTGCCGGACGGACCCTCCCCCGTTCGTCTGGCCCGGTCCGTCTGGGCCGGACGCCGGCTTAACCCAGGATACAACCCCTATTTGACAGATTTACGGTTCAAGACCCGACGACCATACAAACCTGCAACAGACAACAACAACTACCAAGACACAGGTCACCGGTTCCAACACACGGGGGTCGACTTGGTACTGTGAGGACAAGGTCTAGGGATCGAGCCCTGGGACTGCATCCGCTGCCATAAAGGTGAAAACCGTTTCACTCCCGCCGGCATAAATTCGAGGTCCGCCGAGAATATGTTAATCTATAGCAGGATCTTTCCCTTTCTTAGCTTTTTCATAGGCACGGATGACATCGGGAGCAGTCTCTAGAAGGTCTGTTCGTGTAAACCATCGGTCGTCTTCCGGCTCTTGGTAAGAAAATATGACTTTATACTGTTTTTGTGGACGACCTCTACCTCCTGTTCTAAATACATCTTCAGCTATAATACGGTCAATGTCGTACCTGCTGTCCATGTCGGGAGGAATCATCGATCTCCTCGACGGGAATTGTTGACTTGTTGCGCAAGGTAACAACTTTGACGCGTGGAAAACTGGGTAAGTATGGAGGTGTGCTGGAATCTCTACGCTGTAGGACGGCCCATCATCTCCGTCCTCGATTTCTAAGACTGGCCACGGCCCTCTATACGTAGGCAACAGTTTTTGTGAGATGTTTCCCTCAGGAGCAGACTAAGTCACCTACTTGAAACTGAGATGGGCGACGGTGCTTATTAGCTTGCTCTATCATCTCATGCTGGGCCTTCCTGAGGTTCTCTATTACTGTAGCAATCTCTTTCTCATGCTGCAGCGCAAACTCCCTAGTACCGGGCGGTAGCCTCTGAATCTGATCCCGGTTGAGTCCCTCAAACGGTCTGCGCGGTCTAAAGGACTTATGTAGTTCATTGGGAGTGCAGCGAGTTGCTAAGTGGACACTGTTGTTGTACGTGCTGGCTACCTTCGGGAGCATCTCGTCCCAGTTAATTTGATAATGTACACTCTTAGAACTTGCTGCAGGATCTTATTCATCTGTTCAGTCTGGCCGTTGGTCTCTGGATGACGGCCAGATGACATGAGCAACTTAAAACCATACACTTTCATAAGCTCCTGCCAGTTCTGACTAGTGAACCTGGTATCAATGTCGCTAACTATAGACATCGGTAGGCCATGTCCACTGACCCAATGATAAAAAAACTTTGCTATTACTAATTTCGTTCGTGCCTCAGAAGGCAAAGGAACAAAACCTGCGTACTTACTAAAACTGTCTACAATGACCATGACTTGGCTCTTGCCATGCCTACTCTTGACCCCAGCATCCATAAAGTCAATGGGCACAGCGTCTCCGGGTCCTGCCGGAATAGGCAGGGGTCTAAGAAGACCCAGTGGGGCTCGCATCGTAGTTTTGTTGTGTTGGCATACTTTGCAACTACGCACATACTCTATGCAGTCACCTTTCATGCTAGGCCACGTATAGGCACGTATCAGGTTGGCGAGGGTCTTTTGCCAATCGAAGTGCCCTTCCGTATCGTGACATTCCCCCAGGATCAAACTGCGGATTTCCTCACTATTGGGAATGCATAGCCGATCTACGTCGTCTGTCTTCTCAAACAACAACCCATTAGTGGTTCGGTAATGCGGTTCACTGGCTGGTTCCTCCTTAACTCTCTTTAGGAGGTCACAATAGATAGGGTCCTGCGCGTATGCGTCTACGACTTTTTGTTGTAAGTCTGACCCTATATCCAGATGGTGAACTATGGCTCCAAAGTAGTCGGCTCTTCTACTGAGGGCGTCTGCAACCACATTATACTTACCTTTGACTGGCTTGAGCTCGAAGTCAAATTGATCTATTTCGGCGGCCCACCTCATCTTGGCCTGTATCTTCAACCACCTCAATGTCTCGCGGTCTGAATAGACTTTGAAGTGTCTCCCAAGCAAGTAGTGCTTCCAGTGGTCTAACGCTTGCCTGAGAGCGTAGAGTTCCCTCTCATAGGTCGATGTCGCTACCTTCTCTGAAGGCATCCTAGCAGACATGAACTCTACGGGTCTACACCCATTGCCACCATCTTGTTGTAAGACAACACATATACCATACTGACTAGCATCCGTGGTGACAACGAAAGGCAAAGACGGATCGGCTACCTTGAGGACTGGAGACTCGATCAAGGACCGCTTGAACTTCTTCAGGGCGGATGTACAATCTCGGTCCCACTTCCAGATCGCCTCTTTCTTTAGCAATCTACGAAGGGGAGTAGCGATGGCAAAAAAGTTCCTTACAAACTTCCTGTAATAATTTGACAATCCTAGGAACGATCTAAACTCTGTGAATGTACGCGGGGTCGGCCAATCTCTAATCGCTGCAATCTTGTTGTCCTCAGGCTTTATGCCATCACCACCTAACACGTGGCCCAAGTACAAAACTTGAGTCTTGGCCCACTCGCACTTTTTTTTTTCTTTTTTTTTTTGGTAAACATCAATGACGAGGAGTAGGGGAGGTGCTGATAAGAGCAGACACCCCCTCTACCATCCTCGCTCGTTAGATGGCTCATTCCATTGGCGGGGAGCTGCACCTGCTGGAAAACGGGTCCAACGTCCCTTTGCATCATAACAAGGAGCCAGATGATATGTTATACATATCGTTGTGTCAAGTTATATATGATGAGTAGAATTAATTGCCTTCTTTGCAAGGGGACTGACTGCCCATATGTCTCAGAGGAGGACTAACACATATCTTCAACTACTATGATCAACTGTATCATCTACCTCTATTACATTAACGCGCTAAAATTCCACCCTGTCCCTGCCGTGTGGCAGAATTCCAGCTGTTACACCCCGGCCTTCTGCATGAGTGAAGCATTCCCGAGCCCCTCCCGGGTAGGTGGTATCTTTTTTTATTGTAGATGACGACCAGTATTGATTGCCCTCAAATGATAGGATTAACTACACATCAAACTGCACACTGGACTATCCTTTCCATAACAGCAGCCCGTCAATTCATCTGATCACTTATAGAGTCCTAGTGAAAGAGAGCCTCCAGAGCCCTCCTATCCAGAGAAACTCCCAACTCAGCCTCCTAACCCCCCACACGTCAGTTCGCTATTATTATATATGCCTTATCAAAGCAATGACCACCACACACCAGAGCGCAGTCCAGGGGCTATTGACCAAGACCCCACTCAATCGCCCAAAATTTTCCAGAAAAAAAGGGTGTGGGCGGTGTTGTAAATTCCAGCAGTGGGAGAGAATCTCCCCCACAGGCAATGGGACGATGTCCCTCCATTTTCCCCGTGGGACCAAACAGTGTAGGGGAGAGTATTTCAATCAACCCATCCCCTGCTACTACCCTTACTTTGGCGATGAGAAAAGTGAACCTCGTAATATCAAACAGGCATCGAGGGTAAGAACATCACAATATTATTCATTGTTATTTAGTTATGATCGTCTACTCAGGAAGGAAGATATCCCCTAAGGCCTATTATACATCTTATCTGATTCATTGTTATTGTTGTGTCATTAGCAGCCTTGCGAGCTGCTCCCTGGGTGCCCAAAGATAGGCAATGCGTGTTGAGATGGCAAAAACAGACCACCACCCAATCCCATCAGCTCATCCCCCAAAATTTAAACCACTATCCGTTCCCAGGGACTTCGCCCTCCCTCCCCCTTTAGTCCAACCTAACCTACACCCAATCTCGCTCTCCCCCAAGGCACCCAGGTTTCAGCATAGCACAGTTGGCAAAGGATGGCAGCATCAACATGAAGCAAAGAGGCGCAGAGAGCATCTCCAGCACAAGAAACCGCACATGTAATGAGTTGTCCGCGTGATCTGTGCCCATGGTTGGCCATATACTTCATCGGACGAGCAACTTCCCTGATTGGGGTGTCAGAGCATATCCACAGGAGAAAAAATTGATGCACCGTAATAAGTGGAATTTGTCCTGTGTTGTTCGTCGCAACCTTTCGGGAGAGTGCAGGGTCCAATTGATGCTTGTCGTCCCTATCCTGCCTTTGACTGTTGCGGGGACCTATGTTCGCCTCACCATGAGGGTCTAAAACCCCAGCGGCCGTCCCGCGCCTGACTCATCACCACCCCCACTGTGTCAGTCGTCTGCAGGTGCCACATATGAAGGCGATCCTGTGTCTGACAGCCACGTGGAGTGTTGTCCAGCATTCCTTCAGCCTCCCGGTTGTCCTGATTCGGTATCATGTCGTTGATCAGGCAGCCGCAGTGCGGCCCCTGGATTGTGACAGAGCAACTTTCATCCATCGGTGAGTTGTCGATGGTGGTTACCGCCCGTTGTTGTGCTATGACTTGTTGCAGCTTCTTCAATTGCACAAGGCACTCTTGTATATCATTTGTAACTTGTTCCTCATCAAGAGTGCCCAGTAATGAGGAAGCAATCTCTCGCAGCTCATCCCCCCATCCAACGAAGGTGTCTTCTGCCTCTTGTAGCATCACCGGTGGCAGGCTGCCCTCTACTTGCAGTATCGTCGCAACCGTTTCTTGTATCTGTTGCTTGTACATGCCTATAATCTTTGTCGCTGATGCTGTGTCCCACCATGATGAAGACGAGGTGAGCTCCTGCACCATGGGGTGCCGCAGGTCAGGAGGGGTGCCCTGCCCACCCTCATCATTGGTGCCCATTATCGCCGACTGACGACTCTTGAAGGCGATGCACTGATGACTACCGCCCCAATATCGCTCCTCGTCGTTGCAGTGCTGATGTGGCCTATGTCGCCCATTTGTACGTTGGCGTCAGCGTGCCGATCTTTCCTACACATGGATTCTCCACTCCGGCCGCATTGAGGGACCGGGGGATAACTCGAAGGAGCCTGCCCATCACGGCGATGGCATCTCCCCAGACTTCGTGCGGATACTGGCGGACGGGCCTTGCCGTCCGCGGGCCGCAAGCGCTAGCGATCTCCCCCCCCCCCTGCAACTTTGCATTGATCTTGAAGTTAGCCTCTCTCAACTTTTCCAAGACCTGTCCCAGATGAGCCTCGTTCTCTTGGAGGGTCTTGCTAAAAACTAGAATGTCATCTAAGTAAACGACTACAAATCTGTCTAACCACAACCTAAACAATTCATTCATACAGCGCTGGAATGTGGTCGGTGCGTTGGTTAGTCCAAAGGGCATCACTATGAACTCGTGGTGCCCATATCTAGTTCAGGACGTCGTCTCGTATTGACCATCAGGATGGACCTCTATCTGATGGTACCCTGACTTCAAATCTATCTTGGTAAAGTACTTGCAACCCTACACTCGATCTAACAGATCGTCTATACGGGGCAGTGGTTCTGCATTCTTAATTGTGACGACGTTAAGACCCTTATATTGAGTGCACATTCGAAGCTCTCCCTCCTCCTTGGGGACAAACAGAACAGATGCTCCAAATGGAGACAACTGGGCCTAATCCAACCCTTCTCGAGGATCTCATCTAACTGCTTGCGCAGTTCCTCCGACTCCCTTGGGCACATTCTGTAGACAACCCCCTTAGGGGTTCTACTGCCAGGCTCTATCTCAATGCGATGCTGGATTGGCCGCAACACTACTCCTGTAGGCGGCTCTGACAAGTCAGCATACTCTTCCAATAGCTTGGCAATAAATGGGTTGGTGGGTTCCTCCTCCTTAGGCTCAGTGACAGGCCTAACATAGGCGACAAAACCCTGTTCTTCTAATTGCTCCTTCTTGACTAAACGCGCAAACACAGGAGCACTGAGACAACAGTGTGCCAGAGGGTTGTCTACTCCTGACACATAAAACCGATGAGTCGTCTTGACGTCGCATGAAGGACTAAGGAGCTTACACTCATGCTCTCTCAAATGCAGCGTGGCTCTTGTTGCCTCTCCCCAATCCATACCTAGGACCATATCAAATGGGAGACTGTCTTCTACGAGGAGAGTCAGGGAATGGAGAACTTTTTCTACTTTCCCATCTTTCTCTATGCGGAAATACGTCTGGACTCCCTCAACATAATCCTCGATTCGCATAGTGCGATTATCTGCGAGGATACTGACTATGGGCTCTTCTAACTTTTGGACTTTCAGGTTTAGCTTCAGCTTCTGCAGCGCTTTCCTGCTGATGTAACTAAACGTGGCCCCACTATCTATTAGGGCCCCTGCTCGGCCTCTAAACACCTCAACGCCTACTAACAATAATTGTCCTTTCCCATTTTTCTTAGAGAGACTCTAGCACAAGCAGCCTCTGGAAAGCTAACTGGGCGCTGGCCAGCAACCTCTGCTATACATGTGGTTTGGGAGGTTCCTTATGGTGCGCGCACTCTTTTCCACATGGCCCAGGGGTAAGGGCAGTTGCGACCCCTACCGGCAGTTGCTTTTGCTGCCTCTGCAGCCGATCGTCAGGCATCCCTGTACTTGGGGCAATATTTAATAATATGCCCCGGGTCACCGCAATAAATGCACTGACCATCATCGATTCTTCTCTGCCAAACGGTTTGTTCTAATCCCAACAATTCCCAAGGTTTGCCTTGAGGCAGACCAGGGTGCCATTCACCCTTCCTATACGGTGATCGATTGCCACGAGGACGGTTTTGCGGGGGGCTTTGACCCCTTCCTCCCTCTTGGTGGTTACCTCTACCGCCAACCCCCTAGCCGCCATGTCCTCGACCACCTGAGGCCTGGCCCCTTTGGCCCTGACCTCTCCCCGTTCCTTGCGACCTCCCTCCGACCGCGACAACAGCATAAGTACTCGCCTGGCTCACGCCACTGTCCTCCTCTTCGAGGCCCCACTCAATCTGGCTATAGGGGACCTCTTCCATACCACCTTCATCTAACGTGAGGATCAAATGATCCTTGGCCCTGAGTTGGCCAGAGATGGTACGGCCCTTCCATTTTTGGCCTTTGTCCAAGTCCTTGTGCCAGAAAGTGGAAACTGGCACGGACTTCGCTTCAAAATCCATAACATCCCTACTATTGTAGGTCATGTTGGGTTGTCTACTCTTCTCGTAAAAGTGCCAGTGCAAACTCTCGGGCATGGCACGAAAGAATAGCTGAACCAATTGGGGCTCAATAACCCCATGGTCAGGGACAGCAACTGACTCATCCATCACACCCTTGAGTGCCCTGACACTCTTCCACTGTCACGAGTGAATAGCGTGCAACTTGTCAGAGGCCTTGAGCCCCCTAGCGACGTCTGCAAACCACTCTCGAAGGGCCTTCAAGAACTCATTTAAGCGCGTGATCGTCGAGTAGACGACCATATCATTGTCACATCGGGCGGCGCGGGCTAATGACCTAGCAAAGCTAGAGGCCTCATCTCTGAGGGCGTGGAAGGTCACGAGGACTTGCTCCTCGGGGATGATATCCTGGAGGTGCACATAAGAATTTATGTTGGCCTCCCAGTTATCGAAGCTCTCTCCCTTTTTCCCATTGTAGGGATCAGGGAACTTCACCTTTACGCGCTCTCTACGGGGGCGTGCTTCCTCCTCCTTTGGGGGCGTTGTCTTGGCGGTTTCTATAGCCCCTATGCAAAAGCAGCAAAACTTCTCCGTATTGTCTAATCGTGCAGTGCAAGGGGTTAGTCTCCACCTGAATCTCCTTCATCGCCGCCTCCCTCTCGGCCTGGGGAATATATAACATCAATTCTTCTTCTCCCCCAGTATCAGGTTTGCCACCCACTCAGTCACCATCTTCTCCAGCCTTGGGTCCCCAAGCTTCGTGCCACTCGATTCCCCTCTTTCCTCTCTCTTCACATTTCTTTCCAAGCGAATCTCTTCTTCTTCTTCTTCTTCTTCTTCTTCTTCTTCTTCTTCTTCTTCATCAACTAAGGCTGCAACTTCTTCCTTCTCCTTCTGCAACCTCTTCAACTCCTCCTCCAATTCTTTCTCCTTTTTTGCTTTCTCTTCTAGGAGTGCCAACTTTTCCGCCTTCTTCTGCAACTCCTTTTTGTCTCTCCTGGCCTTCTGCTCAGCCAATATTCTTGCGGCCTCCTGCTCTTGCTCCTTTGTATAAGGAGTGGTCCCTGTACCACCCCTCGTCTCGACTCTACACGTGGAAGTGTGCCAAAAGCCTAATGGGAACAGGAAACGCCGAAGGGTCCCCCACAGGGAGAACCCCACGAGCAAACTATACATCGGATAGTCATCCATGGTGAACGGTGCACAACAAGTGACTGTTCCACTCCTCACCACTTAGACTTACCCACAGACTGACTGACTGACTGACTCTCTAAGGACTACAGAATCCTTGTGGGATCCTGTCGGCTATGGTCTCTAGCCTGGACCTACTACTATGGCTGTCACGACAGGACTTCACTGTTGATCAAGAGGCATTTAAGGAGATCCCCCGTAACTCCTCAGGAATTCTTTAACGTAGTAAACAGGACGACGTGATCAGCAAGTCCTCTCAACACTTAGACAGCTGGTCGTGCAGCCCACAGCTCGGATTTTGGGCCAACCATGCCACACTGAGCAGCCCGCCGGTCTGTACCGGTCCTTGGGAGGGTTAGTCCTCCGGAACATGTCAGCCGTCAAACATGGACAGCAACCCTACTGAGCCCGTGTGGGTTTGGTCAACTCAGCTCTATGACCACATACATGGAATCCTATCACCTGGACAAAAGTGACTCAATGCAGAAAGAAGAGACAAACAGACTCAGCAAGTACCATGGGGTGAGTGCACATCCATAGGGCGAGGGGATAGGTTGAAGGCTTGGCGAGATTATACCAACTCCAGCTTGGTCAATATCTCGGTCAACAACCTTGGTCAACGCCAGTCAACGCTGCAGGCAACGTTCGCAACCACCTTGGTCAACGCTGGTCAACGCGTGGCTCAACGCTGGTCAACCTCCTTGGTCAATGCCGGTCAACACCTCGATCACGCTGGTCAACGGCTCCGTCAACGCTCCAGCCAACTCCGCACGTTCGGCTATGGCTGCCGACCCCTTCTCCTTCGCTACCCTTCGCCTTCCTCCTCCTCTCTCTCTCCTTTCTTCTCTTTCCTTCTTCACCCCAGCTATGGCTTCTCTCTCCTCCTTCGTCTCTCCCTTCTCTTTTACTTTCTTCTTCCTCTCTCGGTCTTCTTTCTTACTTCTAGTCCCCTCCTTCGTCTTCCTCTCCGTGTCCAAGCTCGGCAGCTATGGCTGCCACCTTCCTCCTTGGGCCGCAACAACCAATGTTGTATCACTCCTCTCTCTCTCTCTCTCTCTCTCTCTCTCTCTCTCTCTCTCTCTCTCTCTCTCTCTCTCTCTCTCTCTCTCCTCTCTTTCCTCCTTCCTTCCCTCTCTCTCTCTCTTCTTCGTCTCCTCCGCCTACCCACTCTCTTTCTCTCCCCTCGCGGCTATGGCCGCTATGCACTTCTTCGCCAACCTGCGCAACCACCCTCTGATCGCTCAGCACTCTCTCTTTCCCACTTC